GGCTTCCGGCCTCAAAAACAATACAAAGGAAGGCTAAGGGGCAATGAGAAATGCATCCCTTTGGGGGCAGAGCTCGCTGAGCACGCTGATCTTCATTGACACCGGCATCGAGCAAACCACTTGGCTGGTGAAAAAAGGCTGCAGACTCACCGTCTCAAGTCACAAACGGCTGCGGCTACAGGCGCAGACGGCCGTGTATGGAAACAATCCCTCAAGTCACAGATCTCAGATCTCAGTCTCAACAATAAATTGAGGAAATATCAAGAACATGTGAAACCGACCACAGGCGGAGGGGAGTTTAGGTGAAACCACAGGCGGAGGGGAGTTTATGCTTGCTTGTAACGGCAGTTATCAAGTATGTATATTTATTCATGTCGTGATGTGATGGTTTGGTCCAAACCATCACATCGCGACACGTAGATATGGTAGTGGAGCTCTGAGCCTGGTTGACGCAGGCTTAGGTCCAATGTTCATGATTAGTAGCGGAGCACTGGTTGCCACCTGCTTTTGGCGATAAGCAATCCAAAGCTAGAACAACCCAAGCTTCAGGATGGTAGTGTTTGAGGACCTCATTCGTTTTGAGGACCTCATTTGCAAGAAATTTTTCTAAGCACATTCAACAAAAATATTAATACATTGATTTGCCCAGACTCGAATGAAATAATAAATAAACTTAAATATGTCTAATAAGGTCGCCCTTTTTTGAGTATTTCTAGTAAGGCCGCCATCTTAATTTGCTTAACTATATAGTTACATGAATTACAAAAAACAGGCTAAGTAGATTATGAGTATTTGATTACCAGGGCGTAGATTCAATCTAAGAGTCAATAATCGCATAATACTGATTATTCCCTCGTACCGGGCGGGGGGGGGGCCCGAGGCGCCGTCCACCCCGTCATTTTCCTTGCTAAAGCAAGAGCAACTCCAGCTAGCTGAGGCTAGCTTTCGTGATGAACAGTCACCACCACCTTTTATTGAACTCTCAGATCACGACATTCGATGCGGGAAGATCCGCAGCTTCTGCTTTAAGCTGCTTTGAAGGCATGGGAGCCATCTCAGGTAGCGCGAAAAAGGTTCCCGGATCTGTTGACCGGTGGTTTTGCCAGTTAAACAACCGCGTTGAGAAGACAAGAGAAAAGTGAACCACTTACGTCAGGAGACTTTTATGGGAACTCTTACCGCCCACCCTGCGAAGCAGCCACAGAACGGGAGGGATTGGGCAAAAAATCGTTTCCAAGGCCGCAGGCGATCTCCCTCCTCAATTTCTTTGCAGTAAAATTAACGAGGATTCACCCGCAACTTATTGGGATCTAGAAAAAACTGCGAAGAGCTTCGACGGCACCAGACCTACCTAACTCCTTCCACTCAACTCTTGGGTGAAAGCATCATGGGGTCCAGCAACTATCTCACATAGCTGGAACCGAGCAGGCTAAAGAGCATCTCCCAATCTTTTGACAGGAACAACAGCGTCGACAAGCCGAGAAGAAAAGTGAACCACTTATGTCACAAGGCTTCTGAGAACACATGCCTGTTTCAAAGCGATCCAACCCAATAGCAATGGCCTCCAACCTAAGAGGAATGGCCTCCGATCCAACCCAATAGCAATGGCCTCCGACCTAAGAGGAATGGCCTCCGATCCAACCTAATAGCAATGGCCTCCGACCTAATAGGAATGGCCTCCGATCCAACCTAATAGCAATGGCCTCCGACCTAAT